ATTGCGCCATTTTGTTCGCGGTAATGTGGTCCTAAGCAGAGTTTTTTTTAAGAAAATCGTAACCACTTCCATCTGAGTGGAAATGAAAACTATAGAAAAATTCTAGAAAAAAACGGCTCTAAATATTGATCAAAAAGGAAAGAATAACAATTGTGAAGTTAATAACAAGAAAAAGACAATTTATATACACATATAAAATAATGTTTATAGTAGTATGAATTAAAGCCTGATTATAAAGTTCCATTCTCTCTCTCTCATATATATATATATATATATATATATATATATATGTGTGTATGTATGTATTTATTTTGTTGTAAGCTAACAAGTGTTACTGAATAACCACAACGGAGATTGTAAATTAAATGGTAATCTTTATAACATCAGCAAATACTTGCCAGCGCCCTGAAGTAGATAAAGCCCTGCTACTTAGACAGCATATTACCCCCACTTACAATAGTGCCCAACGTATTTTTTGAGGATTGGGATATAACTATTAGTGTTCATATGTTACCATATATATATATATATATATATATATATATATATATATATATATATATATATATATGTGTGTGTGTGTGTGTGTGTGTGTGTGTCCAAGCGCGGAATTATTATAATATTAATAATAGGAGTATTTGATAACATTTTTCCTGTAATTATTTGTGAGTTATTCGACTTAAATGTCATTCCCATTAATAGAGAGATGAGGTCATCTTTCTTCAGTAATTCAAAACTACAATATGCATACAGACTTGTGTGCGTTGCTCGGTGTATGCATCTACCTAATAGATGTACATGTGTAGTAAAATTATGTATGTGAATATATATATATAGTGTAACCCGGATATAAGAGAGTTGTCGGGACCGGAGAAGAAGTCTAATTTATATACATTAACACAGGCTCTAATTTGGGACCAGAGGAAATCTTATATCCGGGTTACACTATATATATATATATGCATTCAGTTTATACGAATGTTTATAAAATAGTAAATTGTACCATTACCAAATGCACGATAATATCACTGGGACTGGCATTTAAGCTCGGTTATGTTTTGAAATATATATATATATATATATATATATATATAATTATTGTTTTAATTGACTGATATTTTTTATTGAAAAATAATATCAAATTGAATGACATTTCTGAATTATTTGACTAAATGCAGCATTCACAATAATCAAATGTTTATTTTTCATAACTTGTCTTTTCTAAGTACACGACTTACACATACGATAGTATAAGATAGTGTTGATTTCCTCTTGAGGTAATAGATTGCTACTGCAGTGATCCAAAAAATGAGACTACTTCAAGTTTATTAAATATCTAGTAATAAAACCGTGAAACAATTCTTCAAAAACTATTCAGAATATTTTAATGTGAGTTAGACGCTTTACATTTGTGTTTATGCCCTGTATTCAGCTAGCTAAACCTAAAAATGGTCCATGTAGATAACAACATTTGTGTGACTAGAAAGACAAATCGGCAAGCCGAGTCCAAAACCTAGCCATCATTCTTAAACATTGTACATGCAATGTTAGACATTTTATGACGGTAGTCTTCGACTATAGAATCCAGAGTTTGGCAGTGAATATTTCGGAGACAGTAGGAAAACGTAGTTCAGGTTAGCAGTGGATATCGCAGCAAAGTAGCAGAGCGTAGTTCTTCCTTCTGTCATCTTCGCCTGACAAGTTGGCACTGGTCATTCGGGTAGGGTAAACAAAAAGGGCCGCCTTTATTCACGACGGATAGAATGTTCTACGCCTTCTGATTGGTTAACCTTCTATTGGTAGACTATAAAGTGAGTCGGGGCATTTTGATTGGCTCACTAGTTACATAGTATACACAAAAACCTGTAACATGCAAATCTTGATTGAACATGACTCTCCGCAACACTATTATCGCACTTAGGAAAGTTTATCAAGGAATTTCAATTGACTCAATTCTGACGGTTGCTGTTCCTTTTCATTCCATTTTCCTAAAAATCGTCTTAGTTGATTACGCTCTCCGTTTATAGCATTCTCAGTGTCGTTCTGTAGGACATTTACCTGTTGCCAGTAGTCATCTTTTCGTCCGTTTAGAAATTGTCCAGCATTTACTTGAAGTCTGAAATCTAAGTGTTCCTGCAGTAGTCAATTGCAGAAATTCTGGATGGCATTACTGACGATCAAGACATTCCCTTCAAAATATGACCTCCAAGCTATACTGGATAGAATTTCCTGGATTTTGACGTCACAGGGGTTCGTCAAGACAACCGAAGTGTTCCATAATTCCAAAAAGTCGTTGATGCCGCTAATGGGCTTTTGATATTCGACATAAATGATATCGGGATTTCCGGGGTTGCATTGATTGCATTTTAGAAATTGTCTGTTTTATTGAAGAAACATTTTCGCTTTTTATAATTGGAACATATGAACAGTTTTTGCATGGGAATTTAGTAGGTAGAGATATTCGACAGTAATTATAAACATGCTTGTGTACACATGACGTCAAATATCACGGCAAACGTTAGAAATGTTTAATAGTAACATGTCTTGAAACAATATACTGAGATACAATAAATCAGTGATGAAGAATTCACAACTAAAATAGAGGCCAATGCATCATTTAATTAAATCATTCTATTTATACATTTTAAACGTTCAAGTGTCTTTATGATCCATCAAACACTCCTGGTATTATATATATTGCTTTTTGCTTAATACTTTTCATGTTAAAAATCGTGTTTAATATAACAGTGAAACTGAAGTAGCAAGAGATTATTATTCACAAAACAAAGACGGTGACAACAAAGTCTATATCAAAACCATGTTGAAGCAAGATGATCACTTAATAGAGAAAAACTATACGAGTTCCTCACATGAAAGGCTTCAACAAGATGATCACTTAATAGAGAAAAATATAAGAGTTCCTCACATGAAAGGCTTGAACAAATAAGGATGCAATTCGTTTGTAGAGAAACGTAAAAGCAATAAAAAAAAAAAAAAAATTATCAATTAAATAGCTGATTTTGCTCGTAAACTTATTTTATCTAAATGATGATAAATATTTTATTTGAATACATTATTAAAACCACCAAGGGAAGTAATTACTTATAAATTTACTAAAGATGATTTACCTCCGTTTCCACTACAGATGAAACAGGAAATCTATAAATATAAAGTGATAATTTTTATATGGTTTGATGCGAAGATTTTCCTTGTTTCTGTGTAACATTTTCCATCTTTAAATAATAATTTGTAGTAAATTCTATGACGCTCCCATCCAAACACCTATATAAGAAAAGAGGAAAACACTTTATGTCTCATTTCTTGAGGCAAGTGCAATCTGGATGAATGATAAAGACAAAAATAAAACCTTAAATTTTCAAATTTTGAAGTAGATTACGCTATAAAATATTTTAAAATTTTACTGAGTAAGGTAAACTATAGAAGACGTAAATATTCATTCGACCAATTAAAACAAAGTGAATCAATGTTATCGCTTTTGTTTTTATTGATTATATATATATATCTATACAAATGCACATAATTTTATATATATATATATATATATATATATATTGTACATTTTTCTGTATTAATTTTGAATCTCCCGTTGAAGCCTGAAGAGCGGGAGCGAAACCGGTTGCTTCCCCCTTGTTGTTGTTTTTTTATTTTTTATTTATTTTTTTTTAATATGTCTTGTAATATTAAATTTTATACTTTTATTTCGATCATTAAATTTTGTACCTACAAAAATATCTTTATATATATATATATATATATACACGAGCGTGTGTATGTGTGAATAATAAGTATAATGTAAAAAATGAATCAGTTTACGTTGTGCCTTCTACAGAGATAACTATATGGGATGGATCTATAATAATGTCCAAAACAAACCAAACTTTAAAATCGCTTTTAAAAAACTTTTAATGGCAATGGTAAAATTAGCTGTTTCCATAAACGTTCAAAATGGCGGCCGTCACAAACCATTTAGCATAACTGTCAGTTACACGACGTAAAAATCGATCGTCTGGCGATAGATTTTCCTATAGTGAAACTGACAAATTGACATTTATGCTAAATGGCTTGTGACGATCGTGATTTCGAAGGTTTTTAAAAATGTATTTAAATTTATCTAAAGGTGATTTTAACCTCACGTCTACAATTATATACTCGTGCATATTATTCATATATGTGTGTGTGTGTGTGTGTGTGTGTATGAATGAATAGAGACGAATGGAAAAGTTATTTCAGACAGGGCCTTTTGTCTTGTGATGGACTTTATCAAGGGAAATGGGAGTGATTATTTTGCAAAAAGTATTTATAAACAAACTTAAAATTGTAGTTTTTCAAAATGTTTAAATTTAAGAGAGGCTCATAAATATTCATCAGGTTAACTGCAAAGTCTAGGCAAACTATGGATGATGCTAAGTGACATAATTTAATGTCTAATAAACGAAAGTGAATAAATATGGTTGCAGGAGTTTTTAGGCAATTAACATTTGCAATATTTTAGTACTGAATACATCACTCCCTCTCTCTCTCTTATATATATATATATATATAGTATATATATGTGTGTGTATATATATATATATATATATAAAGGTGGTTTTGAATTTAACTGTTTTAATTTTTAACATATATATTACAATGTATGTTCGTTTAGGATATGATTAATTTTTTCTGGAATGGATACATTCAAAAAAAAGTAAGCGCGCACACACACATATATATATATATATATATATATATATATATATATATGACAAAAAGGGTATTAATCGACTGGTTAGCGTAGTAAACGAGAACAAATTAATGTTTATGTAATAAAAATATAATTCAATATATGCGTAGAGTGAATTGGGCAAATATAACTGTGGAGCTGGTCCCGCTCCAGTTCAAAACACAATCGATGGCCTCAAACCTGAGCACGAAGCCGTTGATTCAATCGGGGTATCCTCTTTTCTTGACCATTGTCTTCAATCTAAGAAGCGTTACGCCTACGAATAATGTGACATCACCGCATTGGCAGCATAGGTAACTCTTGATTCCAGAGAGAGAGGCAAGGGGTGAGAGAGGGGAGAGAGAGTAGGCAAAGGTTTTTGAGAGAGAGGCAAAGCAAGGAGGGGTGAGAGAGGGGGAGAGAGAGAGCAGGCAAATAAGAGAGGGAGAGAGAGAAAAAAGGTGTGGAGTGAGATAAGAGAGGGGGAGAGAGAGAGAGGCAATTTGTGAGAGAGGGGGAGAGAGAGAGGCAAACCATGTAAAAAGAGGGGGAGAGAGAGAGGCAAGGTGTGAGAGGGGAGAGAGAGAGGCAAGGGGTGAGAGAGGGGAGAGAGAGAGAGGCAAGGGGTGAGAGAGGGGAGAGAAGATAAAGAGAGAGGGGAGAGAGAGGCAAAGGGGGAGAGAGAGGGGGGAGAGATAGGGCAAGGGGGGGAGAGATTTGAGAGAGAGAGGGAGAGAGATAAAGGGAAAAGAGAGAGTGGGAGAAGAGAGGTTAAAATATGGTAACCTGTATGGAATTTCCAGTAGGATATAGATCCAGGGAGAACTCTGTTAAAAGACAGCGCACAATTATTATTAATTAAAGACTCTCAAACACTTAAAATCCCACAGGTAATCATTTTTACTTCATGAGAGCTCTAAAGAAAAGCAGCTCTGAATCATCTTGAGCTAAAACAAATCGACTACAATCAAATCAAGGTAATTTGTTTGCAGGTCTTGAAGATTGAGAGCTGCTTATTTTTTAAAGCTCTCATGAAATAAAAATTATTACCTATGGGATTTTAATGTGTTTGATATTCTTAAATAATAATAATAATAATAAATATATATATATATATATATATATATATATATATATATATATACTGTAAGATTTTATACTTATAAGCATGTGTTCTGCCAGATGGGTTTCAGCAGACATTGCTAAAAATAGTACAAATACCATAAGATAATTTAACTGGTGGCTTGTATGTGTGTCATCATATCTGGTTGTCTGTCTCTGGGTGTTTGTCTGTTGAAACGGATGACTAAACACGCGGGCAAGGCTGACTAGAATAAAAACTTTAGGACGATATACATGGCTATGAGAAATCAGAAACAAACTGAAAATTGACGTTGTTCATTTGAAAAGAAAGAACACGCCAACACTCAGTAGCCAATATTGGTTTTTGTGTTTGTATATCAAGAGTCTCCACTGGAAACTGAAGAATATGAGATAAAATAGACACTAAAATTAAAGAAATTACTCATTCGAAATAAGCAACTTGAAAATATGTCCGAATACAAAACGCATGGTGGAAAGATAATGGTTGTAAAAAAAAAAAAACAAACAAACAAAAAAAAAAACAAGTAAAATATCGTAGAGAAATATAGCATGAAAATAAGTAAAAAGAAAATGAATTCAAAACGAACATATTAGTTAAAATAAGACATTAGGACCAAAAAATTATGAAAAAAGTTAAGATCAATAGATTGAAAGAAGAGTGGTTTGTTTAAAAAAGAAAAAGGAAAATAAATAATTATAAAGTAAAAGTTGGATACATATAATGGAAACTATAGAAAAACACCATAAAAGAAAAAAAATGAGAAAAAAAATGTCATTTTAAAAGTAAAGAAAAGCCAACGAGATAGTACAAATAAAAAAGATATAACTAATAAATGAGAAAAGCATTAATCAAATATGTAAAAAGAAATAAATGCAAAAAAAGTCTATGAATGGAGAAAAGGAGAAAACATAATGCAAACAAAAACGGAAGAAAAACGAACGCGCAAAAATAAAAAGAGAAAGCAACAACTATGATATATAGAAATTCAAAGGGAATATAGAAGAAAGTAGAAAAGAAATTGAAAGTAGAAAAGAAAGTGAAAGTAGAAAAGAAAGTGAAAGTAGAAAAGAAAGTGAAAGTAGAAAAGAAAGTGAAAGTAGAAAAGAAAGTGAAAGTAGAAAAGAAAGTGAAAGTAGAAAAGAAAGTGAAAGTAGAAAAGAAAGTGAAAGTAGGAAAAAAAGCGTAAATAGAAGTAAGTAAAATATAATGAAAAGTGATGTTAAATATAGGGAGGGAAAGAAACACTTTAGAAAAGCGGTACGGATTTTTGACTTTAAGCGCAAAACCTTTCGACTTTCCAAGAGAAAAGAGCGGAAAATGTAACAGCGCGACAGTTTGTTGGTTGCCGGTTGAAGTGGTATGCCTGTAACGTATAGTTGTTCACCGGGATGTTGGTACTGGGCTGATATCTATTTTGATGCGGATATTTCAGACAGTTGGTGATGGGGAGAAGAGAGAATCAATACCTACATTGATCGAAAAGGGGATAACAGTGAAGAAGGATAGAAAGTCAATGAAATTAGTGTACTGTTGAAGGATCAAAGATAGAGAAAGACTACTTCGATTATTGTGACTACCGTTGCATAAACGGATGAATCACCGAGTTAGATAGGCAGGGATAAACAGATAGTATTCAACGTTAATTAACACACGCATAACATACACACACATATATATATATATATATATATATATATATGCATATATATATATTATATACAGATATATATTCACATATATATATATATATATATATATATATATATATATATTATATATATATATATATATATATATATATATATATATTACATACACGGATATATATTCATATGCATATATATATATATATATATATATATATGATGGATGTCTCTCCATTTAAATCATTAACCTTTGCATTAGTTTTGTGTGAATAATTCATGTATTTGTAAATTGATTGCACGTTTATTGTAATTTAAATAACTGATCCATGTGCGACTTTTAGATAATAAGTGCGACATTACTGTAATTATTGAACAATATAGTTCATGCCACTTTGACAGAAAAATTTACCAGTAAAAAATTTGTTCATCACCATATTTGGTATAAACACAAACACTTTAAAAATTTAAAATCAAACTCAGCGTTGCTTTGGCGCGTTCCAAAACCAATAACTCATTTTCAATAGCATTTTCGGATACAACAACACATATTTTCCTTGTCCTCTTATTGCTAAGAGAAAAAAACAAGAACAATATCTATTCTATACCTGAAGATGTCTGTAGGAAAAGACGAAAGCTTGTAGTAAAAATAACAACTAATACGGCAGAAATTTATATAAACAAGATCAATTCATTCATAACGGATCTGGAGGTTTTTGTATACTATTTGAATTGTTTGCGATGATGGATGTCTCGCCATTTAAATCATTATCTTTGCATTAGTTTTGTGTGAATAATTCATGTATATATATATATTATATATATATATATATATATATATATATATATATATATATATATATATATATTCACATATATATATATATTATATATATATATATATTCACATAATATATATATATATATACATATATATATTCATATATATATATATATATTATATATATATATATATATATATACACATAAATATATATATATATATATATATATATATTCACATATCATATATATATATATATTCACATATGCATATATATATATATATATACAGATATATATTCATATATATATATATATATATATATATATATATATATATACATATATATATATATATATATATATATATTCACATATGCATATATATATATATATACGGATATATGTTCACATATGCATATATATATATTATATACAGATATATGTAAACATATGCATATATATATATTATATACAGATATATGTTCACATATATGCATATATATATATTATATACAGATATATATTCACATATGCATATATATATATTATATACAGATATATATTCACATATGCATATATATATATATATATACATATATATATTCACATATGCATATATATATATATTATATACAGATATATATTCACATATGCATATATATATATATATATATATTTATATATATATATATATATTTATATATATATATATGTTCACATATACATATATATATATTATATATATATATATATATATATATATATATATATATATATTATATACAGATATATATCAAAATATGAATATATATATATTATATATAGATATATATTCACATATGCATATATATATATTATATACAGATATATATTCATTATATATATATATATATATATATATACAGATATATATTCACATATGCATATATATATATTATATACAGATATATATTCACATATATATATATATATATTATATACAGATATATATTCACATATGCATATATATATATATATATATATAGATATATATTTCATATATATATATATATATTATATACAGATATATATTCACATATGCATATATATATATATATATATATATATATATATATACATATATATATATATATATATTATATACAGATATATATATATATATATATATATATATATACAGATATATATATACATATATATATATATATATACAGATATATATTCACATATGCATATATATATATATTATATACAGATATATGTTCACATATATATATATATATATTATATACATATATATATTATATGCATATATATATATTATATACAGATATATGTTCACGTATGTATATATATATTATATATACACAGAGATATATTCGAATATGCATATATATATATATATATATATTATATACACATGCATATATATATGTATATATATATATATATGTATATATATATGCATACATGTTTGTGTGTATATATGTATGTGTGTGTGTGTGTGTGTGTATGTATGTGTAGCTCAATAAGCAGTACTAATAGTGGCGTAGATGAGACATACTACCAAGAGAACCGTTCGATAAAGTCTAAATGATAGTGAAATACAACAAAGTAATAAGAAATATTGAAAAAAAAAACATTTTAAAATCACATACACCTTCTTAAATTCTTTTTCTTTTTTCACCTCCTCAGGTAGAATTTTTCATTTCCCCCTCCATGTCTAAGGCTATTACGTTGTTTTTCTTTTCCGAACTGATCAATTATTACTCGCATTTTTTCCTCGAAACCTGCACAACCCCGACGCTGGGATTTAATTCAAAATTGCCATGATACCCAATTTACAAAACACCGATTTAATCCACGAGACAATTTTCATGAAACTTAACTTGCGGTCAAAAAAAAAGAATATACAAATTTGTATAGTGATTTTCCAAGCGGAGCTTGGATGTGGTACAATGCCGAAAGTAAGGGGCACCCAGTGAGGTTTGAACTTCTTCCTCAGTCATAAGTGTTTTTAGCGAGACAAGCTTGATAACTATTACACCACCCCGAGGTTCCCCATACAAACTTGTATATTTTCCTATTGTTTTTGGTGTATTTTTTTTTTTTTTTTATTAATGCATCGTAAAACTTTTTATATATTCTACGACTATGAAACTAACTATCGATTGGAGACAAAATATTTCTCTTCCTCTGAGATTCGAAACATACATAGAACTGTATTTTAAGGGCACAAATACCTCCCAATGAATCTTCTTAACAGACGTTGCCCAAATATATTCATATATTTTAGTCTTCAGTTTTTTTTATTATTATCTATGCTGGGCTATTTCTTTATATGTAACAGTAGATGTACAGTGTAACCCGGATATAAGAGAGTTGTTGGGACCGGAGAAGAAGTCTCTTATATCCAGGTTTGGTCTATTATATATACATTAACACAGGCTCTAATTTGGGACCAGAGAAAATCTCTCTTATATCAGGGTTTCTCTTATATCCGGGTTACACCGTACTATCTTATTTTGTACACATTTCTAAGATACAATATCAGTGACTAGTGTTGCTTTCATATTATTATTTTATTATCTCAAGGGGCAACGGGCTTGAATTTTTACTATGTATGATAGACAGCTAAAGAAACAGCCCAAATTACTAATTGCGGATACCAAATCATGCAAGTACAAAATTTAGATACACGAGAAGTGTTTTAACAGAAAGGTGAAAAGTACTCCACCGAAATCAAAAGCTATACTGGCATAGCCAAAGATTTTTTCCAAGAGCTCAGCAACGTATTAAGAAACAGAAAAAAATTGAGACAGAAAAAGACAAGTGAACTGTCCTGCAATATCAGTCACCGTATACGGCAAACAATGCTGAACAATCAGAAGATTCTTGAAACGACAAGAAAGTGTTTCTACAGAAGGTTGCTGAGAATACCATGGACAGAACATGTGAGCAACTACAAAACAGAAAATGGAAGCAAAAAGAACACTTAATACTTAACATCAGAAAGAGGCTGCTGAAATTTCTAAGTCAAAAAATGAGGAAAGAACGTTTGCTAAATTTAATACAGAACTGATTGAAGTCTAATGGGTCGGCGTTAAACAATGCATAGCCAATTTAATGAACTAAGTTTAGGAGAGATAAGAAATTGTGGAGAGCCATGATCGCCAACATCCTGAAGGGACACAGCACATAGAAAGAGTACATCATGACACAGAAAATTGTACAATAAAAGGAATTGAAAAAAAAATATTCAAAAGAAACTAGAGACAAATGACAGCGAACCCTAACAAACACTCACGTTGTTTGCACATAGAAAGGCTTTCGAGACCCGATGATTTTTTTTTTTCTGTGTCAATTTTAAATCTCCTGTTGAAGCCTGAAGAGCAGGAGCGAAACCGGTTAAAGAAAATTTTTTTTTTAATATGTCTCGTAATATTATGTTTTATACTTTTATTTCCATCATTAAATTTTGTACCTACAAAATATCTTATATATATATATATATATATATATATATATATATAGAATCCAGCAAGAATCCAATTAAACTTGTTTTAATAAATTCTCTCGACAATGATTTTTTTGTTTAAGATTAATTGCATTTTTATTTGATTGCCAAATAAATTGTTGGAATTTATGGCGATATTGTAAAAACTGATATGACAAAGATAGGATTTCGGCACTGTTGTTTCTGATGTTCCTGTTTCTTAGTATTTTACTTAACTTTTGGAAGACATCTTTTTTCTGTTTCAGTATTCATTCAGATTTATGCATCGTAATCTTCTCGTGTTAAAACACTTCATTCGTTATTGTGCTCTTTTTATATGATTTTCAGAATGGTGTTTAGTATTGTGTTCAGTTGATATTGGGTTTGTTATAGCGTTCCTTTTATATCGATTTAATTTAAATATCGTTCTGCTACCAA